TTCCGTCTGGGCAAGACCAAAATTAGACTGCAAATAACAGCAACAATAATGATGATATTTCATCAGAGAAATTCAAGCAGAAAGCCTAGATTTCTTGTCGACAAAACTCCCGGTCAACCGTTTAAAAATATTCGTCTTCGTCATTCACTCGTATATTCAAGTGAGTACCGCATTGTTGATATTCAAATACTGAGAGATAAATTCCGGTCTGTGTTAAGATATGCTCTACCTTGTAACTGCGATAAATGTGTGTTTTTAAGTGGGTCCAGTTTGAACTGACGTAAGAAAAAAGCAAGATTTTGATTGGTGGTTTTTCAGTTCAGTTAAACAGGTCCTCATCGCTTGACTTGTCGTACTCTTCTTTTCTGAATTTGCTTCGTCTTTACCATTTGCCGTACAAAACTGAACTTAGTAAATATCAAGAATATTAAAGAATAAAACCCTTTGAACTCTTGAGGTGGTGGTTAGACGTCATTAGTTGTTAATCGGGGGTTCAATTCCCACGACAGGATCATTCCATAGTGATAACGTAACATAATTTCGTTGTATTAATCTTTTATTTCAACCTACTTTCATTAATCCTCTTTTTTCTTTTTTTCTCTTACTCTTTTATTTGTCTCTTTTCTCTCTTTCTCGTCACTTTTTATCCACTTTTATCCACTCTTTCTGTCTCGCTTGCTTATCTATATTTTCCCTTTATCCCCACCTTTCTTCTTGTTCTCTCTTTTCTTTCTCCTTATGTCTGTCTCTTTCCCCCTGTCCCACTCTCTTTTAATTGTGTGTCTCTCTGTCTCATTTATTTTCATATCTTCTTTCTCCTATTCTATCTCTTTCTATTTATCGCTTTTTCCTTTTACTTTCTCTTTACATCATTTTTTTTCTTCATATTTTCCCCCTATTTCCACTTTTTTTTATTATTATCTCTTGCTTTCTTTTTTCCTTTTCCCTTCTACAACTATCCTTGTTTCTCTCTTTCATTATTGCCCTCTATCGTTTTATCTATTTTCTTTTTTTTTATTCCCCCTTTCTTCCCCACTACCATTAGTCTCCACTCTCTCTCTCTTTTTTATATCTGTTTTCCTATCTTTCTCTCTTTTTTTCTCCTTTTTTCTGTAACTGAATATTATAAAAGAAATATTACAATATGAAAGAGAGGAGTAACTCTCCTCTCTCAGATTATAATATCATTTGGACTCATATGCGGAACCACAATATTAACTTTAGATATTTCCGATTTCCTAACCAGGTTTCTACTAAAAAAAAAAGAAGTAAGTAAAAATGAAGCAGCAATTTTGAAACTCATTTTTTCCTAGAAATCTTCAATTCCTACATTGCTATAATTGCCTGCAAAATAAAATTTATGCACTCAATTTTAACAGACTTAATGTAACTTGGCTTCATAAAAACGAAACAAAAATTAATGTAAGATGTATTAGAGTTTAGTATCACGAAGATAAATTATTATTATCAGAATTATTATTATCAAATTTATTAATATCAAAATTATTATTATCAGCATTGTTATTTTCTAATATTCAACAAAGTAGTATTTACGTTATAGATTTCAATCCCCACAAAAGAGTTCTCAATTTACATGCATAAATAAATTTATTTTAGGGAGCGTCAGACGAATAAGAATATACTTATATATATATATATATATATATATATATATATATATATATATATATATATATATATATATATATATATATATATATATATATATATATATATATATATATATATATATATATACAAAAAGGGGAGGGAGAGGTATTGTATATAATAAAATATATATATATATATATATATATATATATATATATATATATATATATATATATATATATATATATATATATATATACGTTCACGTTAGTTTGACATACGGCCATGAGCAAGTAAGACATTTAATTGCATCAACTTTTATTTTTCTTAATAGAAAGGTGTGTTAGTCATGATATCAAAATCTAAAATGATTTAATTTTTCTTTGGCCGAACGCTGACGCAAGAAAAACAAGATATTTAAGCAAAATTTCGAACGTGCTCGAAAAAAATTAATAGAATAATAAAAATACTTTGATCTTTCCTCTTAATAATAATCTAAACATTTCGACGATAAAACTTTGTTTTCATTAAGTTTGAGTCCTTTTCATTCCGCTATGCTCTTTTTAGCAAAAATATATATATATATATATATATATATATATATATATATATATATATATATATATATATAAATGAATATCAAACACTTAAAATACCATAGATAATAATCTTTTATTTCATGAAAGCTATAAAAATACCCTTCAATCTTTCAGACTTGCAGGTCTGAAAATCCACTGTGCCATGTGTCCTTAAGAAGGAGAACAGATCTTACACTTTGATCCCAGCCCAATATCGAGGGAGTGAAGAAAAGTGTATCTTGAGTAACACTGGATGCTCGGTTAATGATATGCCGAATGTTTCCATGAAACGAAATGACTAATTATCATTACTATTAGCGTTTATTACATATAAAACACTTTGATCCCACCATAATTTTCAGAGAGTGAAGAAAAGTGTGTCATGTGTTCTGTTTTTACAGAAAATGCGACACAAGGCCATGAGGGGATGAGGAATGATGGTCTTCACTTTGGCCTACTTTTAACTTGGCTAGACACAATCAAGGACCAAAAATAATACATTCTTACTTATCATTCTTATTACAGTCACCGTAATACCACAGTTTCTCTATGAAGCCCGAGGTTGTCTCCAAATGTATAATATGTCTGTGGGGGATGGGCAAAATAACAAATTTTAAAAAAATGTAACACCAATGTTTATTTACAAATGTTTAAAACAAATATCACTGGTTGCTGGATCAACGAATACCAAATGTTTCCTTATAAGGAAACTTCAGACGATACCACGCTTGGGCGATCATGTTTCTTTCGATTCATGTCTGACTAAGCAGAAAATTTTCCCGCAGCAGGTTGCCGTTTCTTTCTGGGATAAACTGGTTGCCTCCAAGGCTATAGAACCAAGTCTGTCTTGCTATTCAAAACATAACTCGGGAGAGAAGAGATGGATTTATACCTTTCCCAAAAGTATTTGCACGTAAGTGAATATGAAGAACCGAACTTGTTGTGGGGCTCTCCCCTTTTTACATGAGATGGACTCGTCCAAAGTATACTTATACTGACAGCGAGAATACCTGCGGTTGATTTATGTCGCGATACAGTCACGACGTCTGTCGAACTCTCTGCTTTGGCAGAGAGGAACCCGGACGACGCTTTGCCGAGGGGCAAGGTTTCATCCGGGAAGGTCGACAGGCCCTGAACCCGTCTAGGCGGGTTCAAAGGTTATATTTTTGGCCGAGGCTACGGGCTCGGAGAAACCCACTTTAAACTCGGCGTTGTGACACATATATTCCTCGTGGGTGGGATATTAAATACTGAGATACGATAAGTGGAGATACTTTGAGGTACGTTGAGACAGGTTGAGAGATACGGAGACAGACACAGGGTGTTCTCAGAGAATTATACAAGAGGAGAGAGAGAGAGAGAGAGAGAGAGAGAGAGAGAGAGAGAGAGATTCCGGCTTTACTTATAGAGTCTTGTACATATACTTTCTACTAACCCGCATTCTTGGACAACTAATCTTCACTTCAAGTCTGTATTCTTACGTTTAATACACTTATTTTTTTGTTTTTTTTATTTGTGCAGGATTCCATTCACGGAATCCACAACAAAACTGGAATTCGAACTCGGCTCTCCTGATTTCTTATTGCCGAGCTGTTATTCATTTCACCAAATTTTTACCATTACCATTTAATTTGTGTACATGTTTCGTGTATTTTTCTAGGAATAGGTTACACCATTTTGAGTTGGTGTCGCCTTTTCTTATTTTCCCCGTTATTATTGGCGTGTTATGTTTTGTGCCTTTGAGTTGCCATATTTGCTTTGATAGAGTTGTGGACTATGCATATTTTCTATTGTTAAATGTAGTTTTTTTAATCAATTCATCACAAGTAAGACGATAACGCCATGAAAATGCAAGAGGGTTAATAAAAGTAAAAAAGATGGAAAAGATTTTAAAAGGAAGCGGAAGCCTAATCCTAAACAGGAAACAAGGGATAAACCACTGAGTCATGTGTCTTCAAGGACATTGGTTAGATCCAATGACTAAACCCAAAGAGTTGTGAGTTCAAGACCAGGCCACAGAAACTTGGAGAGTTGAGTTAAACGGAAATATCTACGACATCTGGAAGAGGCATGACACCTGGAAGTAGAACAATCTCCTCCGGTGGACGAAATAAAGGGTTCGATTCAAAAATCTAATCATCTGAAGAAGGCCGGCGCGTACAACGGTCAAAAGTTTGTGAATATGGCAATGAAGATGAGGATAGCAGTCCGAATAACGTAAATAATGTAAATAATCATAATACCTCGTCTAAGAGATATAGACAGATATGTTTTTATTTCATATGCATGTTTTTCATATTTTTATACACTTTGGTACAAACCTAACCGTCTTTCTCAACACGCAATGGATAGATATCATTTTAATAGCAGGATTTATAACAAATCGAACCAAATGAACTCTGCGCCAATACGTTATTATACAGCTTTCGCTCGTTCGAATTGATGAAATAATCCCCAACAGCATTTCTGATCTTTTGCATTGTCTTTAGAATTAAAAATGTTTATCGATTTAATTCTGATGTTCTTGCCTGTAAACAGTTGATAATGTCAAGCACAACACACCACCATCTTCATTGAAGTTCCTTTTTTCCTTGCTTTTACATCGTTCTTTTTGCTTAAACTATTTTTTTTTCTTCCATTGATTCCCAGTCGAAATTTGTATTATTGTTTTGCTGCCATTTCTTGTTTTTCGGCTTCTTTCTTTCTTTTTCCCATTTATTTGTTTTGTCTTCTTTTTTTAGTTTTCAATTTTAATCTCTCTGCTTTGCTTGAGTTTTTCCCGTTTTTTCTGTTTTCTTTTTGTTGTTGTTGATGCGTTTTTACCTTATCTTTCTTTCTTTCTTTCTTTCTTTCTTTCTTTCTTTCTTTCTTTCTTTCTTATTTATTTTTCTGCATTTCTTTTTTCTTTTCCTTGTCTCTCCCATTCTCTCCTGTTCATCATTTTTATTTATAATTTTAATCTCTGATTTGTTTTTCTTTTCCTATTTTTTCCTGTTTTTTTTTTTCTGCTTTTTTCATCGTCTTTGTTTTTGGTGTTACGTTTTTCTCTTCTATATCGTCGTTCTTTCTTTCCAATTCTTTCTTTTATCGTTCTCCTTTTCTTTCTCTATTTCTTTTATCTTTCTTTTATTTTCCTTTATCTTTCTTTCTTTTAACTTTCTTTCTTTTATCTCTCTTTTTTCTTCCTTTTCTCTTTCTCTTTTTCTTTTCCTGTTTTTGTTTACTTTTTCATATTTCATCTTTAATTTTTAGTTTTAATTTAAATTCCATTGTATTTTTCGTTTTTCTTTTTTTTTATCTCTTTGAATTTGTTGTTGATGATTTTTATCTTTTATTTCCTCGTTCTTTCTTTCTTTTCTTCTTTCTTTCTGTCTTTCTTTCTTTCTTTCTTTTTGATTCTCATTCTTGATCAAATTTTTATTTTGATGTCTTAATTCTTTTCCTATTTTTCAGGGGTTTTATTTTTATTCTTTTTCGTACTTTATGTTGCTTTTATTTATTTATTTTGCGTTTCAATCTTTATCTCATCTGAAATGACTAATTTTAATTCTTGTGTTTTCCGAGTTTATTCATTCATTAATTCATTCATTCCTTCATTCTTTCATTCCATCATTCCTTCCTTCTGTCATTCATTCATTCTTTTCCCAGTCGACAAGTTCTTTATTTTGTTTGTTTTGCCTTATTTTCAATTTTCTTTCCTTTTTTTCCCCACTTCTCTTCGTTGTTATTGTCTTTCTTTAACTCCATCGACGGCCCAGTAATGTTTTCGTCTTTTCTTTCTCTTTGCAACACTGGATAAAAAAGTCGGAACAAATCCCCAAAATATACGGAAATGTTTTTGCCATAATCACTAGATTATTACATTACATTTTGGACATAAATGGAGCAAAATTACGGTCAATACAGGGCAAGATCAGTTTTTATTGTAAAAACAAACAAAAAAAACAAAAAAAAAAAAAAAAAAAAAAAAACGAACAAACAAAAAATCTGATCCGATTGACTGTAAACATTTTTTTTTATTTCTGAGTTACAAACTATCAGATTAATTCCTTTAAAACGTCAACTCCCACATCGGTATGGGTCAATTCAGCAAAGCAAAGTTATCAATCAAAATGATACAATTTCTTTTATAACTCAAAATCCTTTAAAGACAGCGATACCTTAATTATTATTGAATAATCAAATATCAAATACAATAATCATCTAACAGACTCCTTTCTGACTTTCATCAGCATGGCTGATGCTAACCTCCAAAAGAGTGATTAGTTGTGCCTCGGGCTAACATACTCGACTGACATCAAGGGGGAAAAATATATGGAGTCAGGGTCAGAAAGGTCAGCTGCTAAGAAAATTGCTTCACTGTGGCACGCTAGACATTTTTTCTCTCCAGAATCTTTCTTACACATCTATAAATCTGCCATTCATTTATACTTCGAATATTGCTGCCACTTATGGTCTGGTGCTTCTGCTATATATTTAGAGATTCTTGATGAAATCCAGTGAAAAATCAGCAATATTATTGGCCCTAGCCTGGCGTCTTTTCTTCAGTCGCTTTCGACAGCTGTAAAATTGTTTCTTTATGTCTTTTCTATAAATACTTTCATGGTAATTGTTCGGATGAAGTCTTCGCTATGGTACCTAGACTTTATGAATATAAGCACAGTACGAGATTGGCAAAAAGGTTTCATCATTTTACGGTTGAAATGTCTAGATGTAACCGTAAGTTCTATGCTAACAGATTCTTCTCTCATTTCTTCTCGATTATGGAACTCATTCCGACTCCATGCTTTCCAGCTAACTTTGATCTTCAAAAATTTAAGTGCAACGTCAATCGTTATCTGCTATCTTCCCAATATACTCTTCTATTGTTCCCGTTTCTTAATAACGTTTCTGTTTTCTAATTCTTTCACACTCAGTAACCTCTTGTGTCGTGGTGGCTTTACTGTCTTGTTTGGGGTGCATTTGATTTTTTTCTAAATATTCCATTCAAGATTTCACATCTTGAAACTGGAATAAAAAAACTCGTTTTCACATTGCAGTTTTGATCGGCAATTTGTGTACTTCTTTGGCTTTACTGATTTTTCTCCCTAATATTTCTCTCTTCCTTCGTGCTTTCAAAAAAAGACCAACGCACCTTAGATCTACCAGAAACAGAAATTTGTGGAGAGCTATGATCGTCAAAGTATTGGATTGATCCGGTATATAAATAATGACGATGCCTAGTGGAAGAGTAAATGTTCACCCAAAGTTTCCCCTGTCTCTCGTTGGGAGGAAGTTTTGAAAAAAAAAAACATAGTCACGATGACTGGTTTGTGGCTTGATTGCAGGAAAGTTGGCTTTGAAGCGTTTCTCAAAAAATTTAGTACGAAAGTATATATATATATATATATATATATATATATATATATATATATATATATATATATATATGTGTGTGTGTGTGTGTGTGTGTGTGTGTGTGTGTGTGTCTGTGGAAAAATTCAGATGCAAATAAAAACGTTTCTGTAAAAAAAAACAGTATAAATAAAGAGAAAAGGAAAACTTTTCTTTTACTGACACCCTTCATCTGCTGATTGATTCTATCAAGCCAAGTGTAAGGATTTTATTTTGCAAGATGTATTTATAAATCTATGTAAAATATCGTTAGATTTTCAATTTGTTAAAGTTAAAAACGCTCATAAATATACTTCCGTCCAACTGTGAATGCCTCGGTAAAATATGAAGGATGCACAGTGAAATAATTTAAGCAAAATTAAACATAAAAAATTCAACAACATTTACTCACTTTCGTTTATTAGGCATTAAATTACATCAAATAGCATCATCCATAGTTTACCTTGACTTTCACGGTTAGCCTAAAGAATATTTATTAGCGTTCTTAACTTTTACAAAATGAAAATCTAAAGATATTTTACTTAGATTTATAAAGAAAATACGATAGCCTAGGGGTATGATCTCTGACTGATGTCAAATCGGTCGGGTTTCGATCCCGGCTTGAAGTAATCGGACGTCTAGCCACACTGAAGAGCTGTGATACAGCGAAACAGTCCGTCTGTTGATGACTATATATATGCTCTCGGGAAATCCGGTTGAGCATTTAAGAGAAAGAGGTTTTTAAAAACAGCGGCTAATGCATTACTCTTCATTAAGAATGGCGTATTTCGCATAGGAAATTTCCTTTCCTCTCTGTCATGCGACGATAGCTTAGCGGTAGGATCTCTGACTGACATCAAATTGATCCCAGCTTGAAGCAATTAGACGTCTAGCCACACTGAAGGGCTGTGATACAGCGAAACAGTCTGTCTGTGGATCATATATATATATATATATATATATATATATATATAAAGTGAACATAGAAGTCAACACTTAGGGCAGTCTGTTTCATGCTGACGATTGCATCTAGCATGAAACAGACTATCGCCTCTAAGTGTTACTTGTTCACTTTAATATTTACACACGCTCTATCTCTTAAGACTATATATATATATATATATATATATATATATATATATATATATACACCTAGTGAGCCAGACAAACCTACCTAGGTTTCACCTAAACGGATTGTCAGGAAAGTTTGGCCAAACTTTCCCTGACAATCCGTTTAGGTGAAACCTAGGTAGGTTTGTCTGGCTCACTAGGTGTATCTAGGTCTGCTCTACGGTTGTATTGAGCTCTTTTGTTAGTTAGTTGTTACTCGTATCGGGGTTTTTTCTTTGGGCTTCAGACCTGCATCTGTGCGATTTTTTTGTCGGCAGAAGTTCATGTTTGTAGCTCTTTCTTTTTTTAAAACCTTTTTTTCCCTCGAGATTGATTTGATTAGCAAAACAAAAATTCGAGGGTTTTTCGAAACGAGCCTAGTTATCTATATATATATATATATATATGTTTATGTATATATATATATATATGTATGGTCACAATTGATAATTGTTTTCATCTCGACTAAAATGAAACTGTTCAACACGCGTCAAGTTGGATTTGGTCGAGATCAAAACAAGCAAATAAAATGCGCGCAACACCACGACCTAACATGCGCAAGTGAGATATTTGCGTGGTCGTCTATAACGATTTTTACGAGCGCGTCATTAACGGCAAACGCGTTCAGAAAACTTTCATTTTGGATAGAATTTACTTAAAGGAACGATCAATTAGCTAATCTTCATACCCTGCCTGGTGGCAAACGCTGCTGGTGGCGCCAGGGGTGGCGGTCCCGCCATAGCCACCGAAACCGTGAGATCACCCCTGGTCGACGACTGATGATGACAGGGTATCGCACGTGCTAACACCCGTTGTATGTTAAAAAAAAATGAGTTCTCCTTCTCCTTTGTCAACGACAGCTATCTATCTATTCTTCGATGCGAAAGTAAACGCAACAGTCAGGGCTGAAATTTGAAATCCATGCGCCAATCCTATATTCTTCACTGATTCTACTAAACACAGATAATCTCTCTTCCTTCTTATTCTATAAGTGATATTTAGCAAGCATAGATTAGTCTCGTTCAAGGCCCTGTGTCGGCGAGGGATAAGAAGCGTGAAGCAAATTCATGGAAATAGGCTTTGAATATTGCTGCCAGATATGGTCCAATGCTCCTGCTATATATTTAGAGATTCTTAATAATACCCAAAGAAGAATCAGCAATATCATTGGTGCTGCCCTGGCATCTATGCTTCAGTCATCTTCCCATCGCCGTAATGTAACTTCGCTGTGCCTTTTCTATAAATACTCCTATGCTAAATTTTCGAAGGATCTCTCGTCTATGGTATCGAAACTTTAGGAATTCGCAGTACTCAAATGGCGACAAGATCTCATCAATTTAGTGTTGATTTGGCCAGATTTAACCGCTAATAGTTTATTTTCTCGCACTTCTCGCCTGTGGAACTCTCTTCCGGCTTCACGTTTTCCGGTCAAATTCGATATTCAAAAACTTAAATGCAAAGTCAATCTTTATCTACAGTCTTCTTGATTATTCTTCTATTGTTCTTACTACTTAATAATATTTCACATTTTCTTATTCTTTCACACTCAGTAACCCCTTGTGTCTTAGTGGCTTTACTGCTTTGCATGGGGTGAAATGATTAAAAAAATGTAATGATTGGTGAGATTCGTTTTCTACCCACAGCTCGACGACGAGATTCTCCTAAGATTTAAATGGCATTTCATTTATAAAGGTAAAAAAATAATAGGAAAACTGTATTATTAGACGGCGCGTTTCGTCCAATGTGAACTCTTTCAAGGCAAAAACGGAATTACTTTATTTATTGAAAACAAAGTACCTATTAACACCAAACAAAATGTCTTTAGAAGAATTTAGAAAACGCTATTGTTTTCAGTTGACAATATGAATACAATAGCGTTTTCTAAATTCTTCTAGTTGCTAAAGTAATTTTGTTTGATGTACTTTG